GGGGTGGGGGGCATCGGGGACTCCCGGCCCCCCTCTTTCCAGTAAGAACTCTGGGGGCCCCTGCCTGTCGGGGGGTGGGCAGCTGAGCAGGGGGGTGGAGCCAGGGTCTCGCCAGGCAGGGAGGAGGCAAGGGCCTCGAAGGGCCCCCGTTGCCCAACGCTCTTGTCGGCACAGCCCGAACGTGGCCAGCAGCCGTGACGGGATGGACAACGAGACCGGCACCGAGTCCGTGGTCAGCCACCGGCGCGAGCGAGCCCGACGCCGGAACCGGGAGGAGGGTAACAGGCCACACCCTCCACCCCAGACCCCAGAGCACACCCAGGTCCCTGCTGCCCACGAGTTCCTGCCCCGGCCAGGGGGTCTCTGGGGAGAGGTCCCAGGCCCGACGATCCGAGGATCTGACCCCTCCTCCAGCAGCCCCTTAGTCACGCGGCCCTGCTCTGAGGTCAGCAGGGGCTGCCGCGACCTCCCGGGAGCCCCGTCTTTGGCTCACTTCCCTCTGTCTCCGCAGCCACCCGGGCCAACGGGCACCCGAGGGGGGACCGGCGGCGGGACCTGGGCTTGCCCCCCGACAGCGCCTCCACCCTGCTGAGCAGTGAGCTCGAGTCCAGCAGCTTCATCGACTCTGATGAGGATGATAACACAAGCCGGTGCGCGTTATGTGTTTTGACATGTGTGTAGGCGTGTGTGTGCATGTGCAGGCGTGTGTGTGCATGTGTAGGCGCGTGTGTGCATGTGCAGGCGCGTGTGGGCATGTGGGGGGGCATGTACACATGCATGGGTGTTGTGGCCGCGCGAGTGCACGGTGTGTGTTGTGGGTGTGTGCGCAAATGGGCACATGTGTGCACATGGGTGTGTGGGGTGTGTATGTATGGTGTACACACACATGCACGGGCGTTTCACAGGCGTGTGTGCATGTTGTATACATGGGTGTATGCGCACATGGGTGTGTGGGGTCGTGCATCTGTGTACATGAATGTACGTGCGTGTTGTATACATGTGCGCACACAGGTGTGTGTCCATATGCACTTGGTGCATGCATGAGTGTGTCCATTGTGGAGGCCAGGAAGGCTTACCTGGTGTTTGCATGTGTCTCCATGTTCACCTGGAAGCAGTGATCCCCGTGGGTGTGGGTTTGCGTGTGTCACACATGCAGGGCGGGGTGTATGCAGCCAGGAGCTGATCCTGACAGACACCACCTGCCTCACCTGCCACCTCCGGTCCCTCCCCCTAACGATGTGGAGGGGGTGGGATGCCTGTTTGTAGGCACCGTCTCCCTCCCTGCAGCCCCCCTCTGGCCCCTGACCTCTGCACCCCTGACCTTCGTGCCCCCTGACCCCCACGCCCCGACATCTGCAACCCCAGGCTGAGCAGCTCCACGGAGCAGAGCACCTCGTCCCGACTCATCCGGAAGCACAAGCGGCGGCGGCGGAAGCAGCGCCTGCGGCAGGCGGACCGCGTAGGTAGCGGGGAGGGGGGGGGGCAGGGGTCTGTGCTGCCGGCACCGCCCTCACCTGCGCCCGCCCTGCAGGCCTCGTCCTTCAGCAGCATCACCGACTCCACCATGTCCCTGAACATCATCACCGTCACGCTCAACATGGGTGAGGCGCACGGTGCCCCGGGCGGCGTGGGGTCCGGGGCTGTGGGGGCCCCGGGCTGGGCTGCTGACTGCTCCCCCTCCCAGAGAGACACCACTTCCTGGGCATCAGCATCGTGGGCCAGAGCAACGACCGGGGGGACGGCGGCATCTACATCGGCTCCATCATGAAGGGCGGGGCGGTGGCTGCCGACGGCCCTGAACCCCTGTCCCCCAGGTGAACGATGTCAACTTTGAGAACATGAGCAACGACGATGCCGTGCGTGTGCTGCGGGAGATTGTGTCCCAGACGGGGTGAGGCGTGGGGGACACGGCGGGGGGGGGGCCCACGTGGGGGACACAGGGCCTGACGGTCACATGGGGCCTCGCACACATGACCGGCCGTTCCTGCCCTGCAGGCCCATCAGC